AATTAGCACACAAGGCTGACTGGGAAAACCCCAGAGCAGCAAACATGATTCTTGCCATGTAGAAACACACCAGAAACACATCATCCACATGAAGTGCCACCTTCCCACTGCCCTGAATACCTAGCGACTCAAAAGAGATCCTTGTAACTCCAGGACTAACATGTTTTCCTCAGCAACACCCAACCTGCTAGGTAGCTAAGGGGTCCACTTAGTTGATGATTAGATTTTGTTATTTCAGGAATAAACCAGAATCACCTAAGAGCACATTTATCTTCACCTCCCCCCTAGCAGCACTCCTGGACTTCTGTTTATTTTTTTAAAGCAAGCATATTAATCCAGAGAAGTATTTTGATTCATTAGAAGAGTGTCTGATTTCTTGGCAAGTGATCCCAGATGCAAAAACAACTTATTATCCAAATTATCTTCTTTGCCACAATGGCCCAGGATGCCAGCCTAATGTATAAGGGTAGACTTATTCATCCCTGTGCTTGCTTTCAAATTAACATCAGGAAATATATTATCTCTGATCAGCAGCTACAATGTGGCAACGGAAAAATTGTCAGAAGCTTGTAGCTTTTTATAAACCTATAAAGCACATTTAGATACATTATTTCAAAAGGAAGGCAGACTGTGAATGTACTAAATGCCACTGAATTGCACACTTTAAAATGGCAAATTTTATCACAATTTTTAAAAGGCATAAAAATTATTGTTCATATTCTACAAAGGAGGAAATTTCTGCCCAAAAACATCAAGTGGCTTGCCACAGTCCACACAAATATTAAATGGTAGAGCTGGGTCCCAAACCCAGGGCTTATGAATCTAAAGCCAGAGTTCTTTCCAGCACAATTCACTGACTTCAAGCCCCTCCACCCTCTCCTCCACCCCCCACTGCCCAACCATTAATAAGCATCTTACCCTGCTGCTGAGCTTTGATGAGAAGTTCTAATGCAGATACCTACCAACATTCCAAGGATAAATTTTTATTTTATTTTATTTTATTTTTTCCTTTTTGTCTTTTTTCGTGACCGGCAACGGATCNCGCGCTTCCCAAGCGGCGCACTATAGCAGTGCGCCACCGGGCCGGCCCTCCAAGGATAAATTTTTACATAGTTAACAGTATTTATGCCATCATTACCACATTTGTCCCACCCCCAAATCAAGAGAGAAAGAAAAAAATCATCGCACAAAGAAAGTAAGAGAAAATGTCCCTTGGCCCCATGTGTCTGAACACCAAGAGGAAGTTTCCTAGCAAGAGGTGGCTGTCTCACTCACCGTGTATCTGGCCTTCCAAACAGGCACCTGGCAAGGGAGAATATTGAGGTATTTCCGAGGCTGGCGGTAATCCCAGAACTAGAAGAAAACAAGCAAGATAATTTATGAAATAAATGTCATTTTAAAAACTCAACTATTGAAATAAGCATGGCCTTCAAACTCAGTGCTTTTTGTCTTCTAAAAATACATTTCAATAGGGTATTTTTTGTTCAG